CTGAGAAACAAGAACCAAGTTGGAAGAATCATACTGTCTAATATCAAACTATACTATAAGGCCATAGTAATCAAAACAGCGTGGTACTGGCATAAAAACAGAAACACAGTTCAATGGAACAGAGTAGAGATACCAGAAATGAAACCACAACTTTACAGTCTATTAATATTCGACAGAAGAAGCAAGCACATATGATGGGCTAAAGATAGCTCATTTTACAAATGGTACTGGAAAAATGGACAGGACAAATATGTGCAGAAAGACGAAGCTACAAGACCATTTTATACCACACACAAGAATAAATTCAAAATGGATAAATATCCTAGAAGAAAACATAGGCAGTAAAATCTTACCCACTGCTCATCACAATATTTTATCTGATATACAGGGTCCAGCACAAATAATACCCCTTTTTTATTACAAAATCTTTTATTACAAAATCATAAGCATGTAATTCTGAAACATAACAGTATCAAACTCAAGCACAACCTATGATGTTTTAGGTGAAATACTCAAATTAAAACTATAAATTCTCACATCCATATTATCCTACCAACCATACTGAAGCAAGTTTTACTTCTGCTGGATCCTGTATATCCTTAGGCAATAAAAACAAAAGAAAAAAATAAACAAATGGGACTATATCAAACTAAAAAGGTTTTGCACAGCAAAGAAAACCATCAAAAAATAAAAAGACAACCCACAGAATGGAAGAACTTATATGCTGATACATCTGATAACAGCTTAATATTAAAAATTTGTTTTAAAAGTTATAAAACTCCAAAAAAATCCAATTTAAAAATGGGCAGAGGACCAGAATAGACACTTCTCTAAAAAGAATACAGATTGCCAAAAAAACTTAACAAAAACATGCTCAACATGACTAATCATGAAATAAATGCAAATCTAAACCGTGAGATAGCACCTCACATCAGTTAGAGTGGCTATCATCAATAAATCAAACAAGTGCTGGTAAGGATGTGAAGAAAGGGGAACCTTTGTGCACTGCTGGCAGGAATGCAGACTGGTGGAAAGCAGTATGGTGACTTCTCAAAAAATTAAAAATGGATCTACCTTGTGACTCAGCAATCCCACTTCTGGGAATATATTAGAAGGAACCCAAAACACTAATTTGAAAGACGATATGCACACCTATGTTCATTGCAACATTATTTACAATTGCCAAGATATGAAGCAGTCAAGTGTCCATCAGTACATGAGTGGGTAAAACAAATATGGGACATTTACCAATGGAATACACTTTGGCCACAAAAAGGTAGAAAATTTTACCTTTGCAGCAGCAATAGATGGACCTGGAGAACATTTTGCTAAGTGAAATAAGCCAGTCAGAGGAAGAATACTACTCTATGGTTTCACTCATACATGGAATCTAATGAACAAACTGAATTAACATGCAAAACAGAGTCAGACTTGTAGATGAGAGAGCTGGATGACAGCCATAGGGTGGGGGTTGCAAGTGAAGATATCCAGGAAAATTAAAAAAAAAAAAAAAAAAAAGGGCTCATGGACATCAATAATAGTGTGGTGATTTGGGGGGAAGAGAGTCATAAGGGAAATAAAAGTTAATGGAAAAATGCAAAAAATAAATAAATTTTGAGATTAAAATTAAGAATCTATCTCTGGATTCAACATCGAGCTAAAACTTGTGAAAATCACTTCATATTTGTATTTCCACTGCCCATATATAAAATAAACTTGCCTATAGCTTAGCTGATCCATAATGTACTTCCCATTAGAAGTTTTATTTCAATATAAGTAAAAACCTAATATAAGGCCATAAGGGTTTCTCTCATTCAGTGGTTTGAAACTTCTGAGTTCCAACGTAAACTGTAAATAGCATGTTCTCACACAAATCCACTAAGACTTTGTAAACAAGACTAAATCATTCCAAAACCCAGTCCGTAGGTCCCATCTTATAAATCTCAAATTATTACTTAGAAATAACATTTGTTCTTGAAAAAGGCAACTTCTTTGAAAACAAGCTTTTGAACATAAAATTTTATTCTATTTATTACAATCTACATGCTGCGTATCTGCTTCTCTGAAATTCCGCGTCAAACAACACCCCAAACAATTTCCTTCCCACAGTTTTCATTCTGCATGATTCCAGTAACCATGGTTTAGTTAAATAACACCACTTTCCCAACAAGACAGTTCAGACCTCAGTACCACTACACATTAACAATGACTAACTGTATAAAGTACCAACTTTGCTGTTATTTCTTCAGTCCAGAAATCACTATATGACTAAGAGTTGAGCATACTACCAGTGACCGATCACTTCGCATCCTTCAAAGTCTGTTTGATGATGACTCACTGCATATTTGTCACTCAGTTCACTTAGATAGGAAAACATGTAGTAGTGTTGCCTCCCTGTCTAACAGTGGTAAGTGAAGCCATGCAACATTCTATAAAAATAGTCGAAAAAGACAGTCAGCCCACAAAGATGAATGTGCAGAAAAGAAACAATAACTGGTAATGCTGGAAGTGATATATAAATCAAATGGAAATAGAGAAGAAATATCCCACCACATAATGTCTGAGACTCCAGAGGAGCAGCCAGAGGAACTGGGTGAAGTTGAGTTTATGTATGGAAATGAGGGAAGTAACTGAAAAGAAAGGATCACAATGTTCCAGAGGAAGTAGAAAACTTCAGAATAAACTCTCAAACAGATTTCCTAACAGTGAAAGCATAAAGGATAAAACAGTAGAAGCTGATTCTAACTTAGGAGTATGAGAATTCACCAAAGCACAGAAGATATACTTGTGCTGTATCTCACAAGCTGTACAATCAGAAGAAAAAGGCAAGCATTGTTCAAACTGCAACTGAAAAGTTCATAAAGAAACAAAACACTAATTCTTAAAGTCTCTAGTGTTTAAAGTACTGTATACTAAACAAATGTAAGTTTACTATTTTATTATTTCCTATACACTGTAACTACAAGAAGAGTTTTTATCCATTTAGCAAACATTTTCAAAAGTCGCAGAATGATCATAATTTATCTCAGTAGGATTCATCTGAAGTTTCAGTTTGAATGTCATTTTTGCCACCTCATACTGTTGTGTCAAGGGAGGACTGCCTGTATAGTTAGGTATTATTTAATGATATCATCAACTGCAAATGTTTTTCAAGAGCACCCCAGTTCCTAATTAACCTAGAAAAATCCACTAGGCCTGTTATTAAAGACTCAAGACAGAAATACTCTGGCCTGCTGCACTTCAGCTCTTCTGTTATTTACTTCCCTGGCTCTATGTTCTATTTTCCACACATATGATTACACAGACCTACTAGCAGAGAAAAAAATATTCCCTATTTTCTGAGCCTCTCATTACTTAGACATTTTAAATCACCTGCATTCAGAGTTCTCTTGTAACATCAGTAGAACTTAATAAGAAATTTTCAAACATTTCACGCTTCAATGTATCCTGGATGGGATACTGGGATGCAAAATGGACTTTAAGTAAAAACTAAGAAAATGTGAGTATACCACAGACTTCAGTTAATAATGGGTCACTACTGGTTTGTTAATTGTGACAAAAGTCCCACACTAATGTAAGAGCACAGGAAATTGAGAATGAAGTAATAAGAAATTCCCAACTTTCCTGTAAATATAAAACCATTGTAGAATAAATATTTCTTTAAAGAGCTACTGCACATACTCTTTTATCTAACACTAATTTTTTACTAGTGCTGGGATATAATGACATTTTTGAAATACAGGTACTACATGTACTAATTTCCATTCCCTAGAGTAGTGATTCTTAAGCTACACCCTGCAGAATCTGTTAGGAAGGGAAGTGTGAAAAGCACTCTATAGTCTGAAGGACAGTAAGAGGCATGATTTGAGGAATATTCCAATTCATAGTTCCTCAAAACAGAGACAGCACTAGATTGAGGGTAAAACAAATCCTGCATTCTAATACTGAATTAGTAACCAACTATGTAAAACATTTTATTTCTTTAAGGCTCAGTTTTCTCATCTGCAAAATAAGAGGACCCAAGTATGTTTCAGCTTAAAGGTCTCAGTCCAACTAGAATTTTTCCCCAAAATGTTTCTTCTACTAAAAAGAAAACATATGATTTAGATAATGACATTAAAATACAATGCTTTAATAAGGATCAAAATCTATTTGTCAGTTTTTCCTCTTTTTGGCCTATTATCAAACAACTATTGTATTTTTATCAAGTATTTTGACCTAAAATCTAACTCACCTAATTTTACATTTCAAGCTATATCACATTTATTTCACAAATATACAGGTACTGTGTACCTCCATTACTATCAAGAAGCAAACAACACAAAACACAGCTAATAAAAAATATAATTTAAAAAGTTTCAAAACACAGTCCAAAGTTTTTTCTGCACTCACCTCTCTACCAATTTGATAGCACTGTCAATGAATTAAAGCACAGAAAATGGACAAATAATCATTTTCAATTCACCAGGGCAAATCTTTAACAACAGGTTTGAAACAAATTTCAGTTCTTTAAGAAAGCTCAATAACCTGCCCCAAATACCTTCTTTTAATTAGTCTAAGTTTCGAATTTCATAAATCCAAAGACAGAATTAAACTGCAACAATAAGAAGAGTAAATATCAACTGGAAAATGCAGACTTCCTATGAAAAATATGGTAATAATCTAGCAGCAACTTCCTCAGAATTTACATTTGATGTCCAAAAATGACTAAACATGGTTAAAAAAGTATCTGAATTAATATCATCTAATATTTGGTCGTTTCAAAATATTTACACACTTTCTCATATGTTTAATGTTAGACAAAAATCATGTTTAAATAAACAATCCATAAAATGAAAACTATCAATCAAATTAAAATGCAGCATTTTATTGCTAAATTTCAAGAACCTACAGGTACTAAAAGTACAATTCTTAAAAAGTTATATCTCCATCACACGTACACTTGATTTCAAACTTAAGTTGTAACACGAAAAGCTCACTTTTCTTTGTCCCCCTCCCCAAAGGGGTGCACCCTTCCCAAAAGTACTGAAATACCTGCTGGATGCCACCCGGAGTGGATGGAGCAAGCTCCTATTCCATTTCTCAACCCCAAAATTCCGTTTAATATAATGTCCTCGGAGAGAGGACGGACGTATCAGATAGTCAAACTAGTAAGAACAGATACCTACACTTGATCTCAACCAAAAGGCCAAGAAGCAATGAAAGGTCACTTTTAAAAACAATCCCTGCTTTATTAGTTGCTGTGACCCAGAATATACTGAAGTATTTCCCCAAAGCTAACACTGTTGAAAACCTTATCCCCTTTGACACCTGTAAAATAATAAAGATGAGATTGAAGATCATTTTTCATTAAGGTGTAATCAGACTATATACCCTTAGGTATTACCTTAAAAGTACCAATCACAATACACTGAAGCCTTCCATTTCAGCACATAATTTGAAAATTATTTTTACTATGCAGCGAGCACGAAATATTAAATCACACTGTTCTATAACCTGGTTTCCAAAGGTCATACGTATTAACATTTTTAAGGATTAGAACATTTTTAACGTTTTTTAAATGGTCAAATTTCTAAACCTCATCGTTAAAACTTGCTCTCCAAGTCCGTGCTCATAGGAAACTAAACACTGTATACAGGAGTTGAGCAGCTTATCTAAGAAACCACTTTTATTCAGTTAGCTTTCGTTTTCTTCTGACTTTTGTTTGCACTGCAGTTTTTCACTTAATGAAAAAACGTAATACGTATTAAATCAGGTAAGAACGGTCATCGTCTCATTATTACAAAGAGCAACAGTCCTCTTCTCCTCTACCCACGTCAAGGAGAGTCCAGGGGAAGTGGACCTCCACTCGACCAGGGATGCTCGGCAACCAGACACCGCCTCGCGTCAGACCCGCCCACCTTAGGCCTTCCCACCTTCCTCCCACTCCGCCTTCCACCTAAGGTTCACGAAGCACCCGCAGACCCTGCGTGTGCGGCAGCGTCACCCCGCCCCAGGCTCGCGAGCGCGCGGCCCAGGCGCGAGCACGACCCATCGCCACCGACGGCGCCCTGGGACCTTGGCGCCGGACCCTCCCCAGTCCCAGGCTCCTCTCTGCAAGGAGCCCGCCATCTGAGAAGGCGCACTCTGGCTTCACCCACATGGTCAGCGCCCAGCTGCCAGCAGCAGACGGTGGGGCAGAGCCTGGTCGAAGTGGGAAATCATTTAGCCCGGCCCGGGAACCGACCTGTGGAGACCGCCATCTTCTCCTGCACCCGGACGCAGTCGTCTTCACGCACGGCGACGTAGTGCGTCCCTTTCGGGAACTCGCCGATCCGCCCGCCGCGCAGCTTCCGTTCTCGCGTAACCGGGGACTCCGCCCTCTGTAGCCGGTGCCTCAGCTAGGGGAAGAGGTTATGCACCTTTGCTGTCCTGTAGGCAGCTTTCAGAGATTCTGATACTAATTCTGATTAACGTTTTGTTAAACAAAAGAGTTTTTTGAAGACAAAGCTGAGTCAATCACCATAATATAAAGCAAAGGCAAAGAGAAAATACTTTTTAAAACTATGTGCAATGGGTCTGCGTAAGCCATGGCAGCCTGTCTTGAATGTGCACAGATTTTCAAACTCTTGGTTTAAAGTTTTATGCATCTAGTGTTTTGCCGTGTAAAATACTTTTTTTTCCCACTTTTTCAGGAGAAAATAAGGCTGTGCGTTATACACAGGTAGTACCTGACATACCTTGTATCTATTCTTGTGTCTCGTATTGGTCGTTCCATATAATTATTTGTACCATAAAATGTTCAAAATAAATGCTAAAATTTTTTATAATACAATAAACAGGTATCTAAATATAAGGAAAGATTTTTTTCCTTGAAAGCTTGGCCTGAAACCTGGGTGCACGTTATACACAGCAAAATATAGTACCTACAAAACATCTCATTAATGAGGTAAAAAAGGAGGAAATCTTACCATTTTGGCAGAGCGTGGATGGACCTGGAAACCATTATTACTTAAATCAGAGAAAAGGCAAGTACCATAGGATTTTACTCATGTGGAATATAATGAACAAAATAAAAACAGACTCTTACATACAGAGAACAGAATGAGGGCTGTCACAGAGGGAGGGGAGTTTGGGGGCTGGATGAAAAAGGTGAAGGGGTTAAGCAAAAAAAAAAACCTTCATAGACACACACAACAGTATAGTGATTACCAGAGGGAAGGTGGGTGAGGCAAGTAAGGAAGATAAAGCAGAAGTAAATTGTGATGGACAGAGACTTATTTTGGATAGTGAACACATAATACAATATACAGGTGATGTATTATATAATTGTACACTTGAGACTTATAAAACCAGTAACTGAAATTTTAATTTTTTTAATCATCAACCGTGGGTATTTTTTCATTGCCTTTTAGAGAGGAGGAAGAGACAGAGGAAGGTAGAGAGACTCATCAGTGAGAAAGAGAAACATTGATTGGTTGCCTCATGCTTGTGCTTGGACCAGCAACCTAGGTATATGGCCTGACCAGGAATCGACTTCACAACCTTTCAGTTATGGGACAATGCTCCAGTCAAGTAAGCCAGACAAGCCAAAGCCATATGTAATTTTATTAGTCAATGTCACCCCAGTAAGTTCATAAAATTTTAAAAAACAATTTTAAAGGGAAGCAAAATGTTTATATAGATTAAATATTGAGACGAAAATATTTTTGATATGTTGAATTAGACTACATTATTAAAATCTCAAAATATGGGTATTAACAATTCTGCATTGAAAAATGATTCAAAAGAGTTGAACAAAAGCTTTCAAGTGGCCCTAAGAATTAAACAAATTATTTAATTTCTATTTTACTTTATAGCTATGCATACTTAGTGAAACAATTAAAATCCACAGATAAGTTTGAAAAGTGGTTACAAAGAATATAAAACAAAATTTCTAAGTAATGAGGAGGAATTATGTGTTCAAAAAGCAAAGATTTTACATCCTTAGCGTGAAACATTTGAACCTGTAGAAAATTTTTGGTTGCATTTAAAATTAGACAGTTGAGACAGGCCAGTAAGACAGGACAAGTATAATAAGGAAACTGAGATAGATAGATGAAAAAACGGCTGAGCAATTTACAGTCAGATACAAAAGATCACCTCTCTAGACATAATATCCGGCTCCAGGCCCAGAAAAGCAGCAAAATCAGGTGGGCAATGCCAGGACCAGCTGCAGTGACAAATGACCTTTTGCTCTGGTATTACTGTAAAGCCTTCAGGAGGAGCAAGGAGCAGTGTCCTCCATTGGCCAGGGTGGCGGCAAGGGGAGGTTCTCAGAATGAGTGCACAGAAAGCTGGAAATATCAATGAACTGAGCCTGAGCCCATGAAAAGCTAGCAAGATAATTGGATAGAAAAAAAACACCCTTTTCCCCCATACCAGACTGGTGGCAGGCCCAAGGGAAGGCAAGTAAATGCATCAGTGAAGTCAAATTGGCACAGGGTGTGGTGCTGGACCAAAGAGGCCTATTGGTCCAGTCTGGGGTGAAAAAAAGAATTCGTTGAGAGGTGGACCCACGGGAAGCACATGAAAGTGTGCGAAATTGATTGGTCATTTTGAGAAAGTGCCTGGTCCATCCCACACCAAAACTAATCTAATCCCAAGAAAACAAAGAGGCTGTCTGGTTTATGGTTCCCTGTCACTCTACCTGAACTCACACAGTGCACTCACCTGCTAAGGCCACGTGGCCCATGGCCTCCAGAAGGGAATCTCTCACTCACTCTTGCTCACCTGCTGATGCACTTGTCAGTACTTTCACACCCTCTCCTGACAGTAACAAACTTGCAGTCCTAGCAGCCACACAGCCCATGGCACTGCAAGATCCACAGGCAGGTTCCAGGAGGGAGCATAAAATGAACAGCAGCCAGGAAAAAAATGAAGCTACCTAGGTGGGGACTATGACTACTTAGCAACCACTTGTGGGGTCCCAAGCTCTGTACTCTCAATTGGAGCTGGAACTCTGGACACACTGGCATTTGTCTTTGTCTTGCTGAGGAAATAGGCTTTGAAATGAGAATCTGCTATTCTCCCAGATGACACAACACCTGAATAAAACCACTTTCCTTTTGTACCAGCATGTGTCTCACGAGTTTAGCTTTTGTGCAACAGGCAGCAGAACGTCCACTGTTTTTGTTCAGGTACACCGGTGCTGACCAATCAGTGGACACCATGACCCTGAAAGAGCACACCTAGAAAACTGATGAGTATTAGGCTGAAACAATCCTTTGAACCTCCCCTAAAATTCCCACCTATAAGAGAGAGACAAAATCCTCAAGACAAACAACACACACTCTCCATGTGGAGAGCCACCTGCTCCATTTGCTTCTTGCTCTATTTCCTTCTCTTCTGCCTCCAAAGGCACACATCTTCACAATTCTAGGGGTCCCGACAAGTCTTGCAACCCGGGAGGCAATGGGCATGGCAGTTCATCCCAAGCAATCCCTGAACCTGTCCCCAGGGCTCGTTTTCTCTGGCTTTTCAGTTAGTTAAGGAAGCCAGCCTGGGCTCTCATGTTGTTCCTTCTGTACTGACTTCTTCCTTGTTTCATTGTCACCAGCTTGAATAAAACTTTTAGTCACCTGGACTTCTTTTTTTTTAAAAGATTTTATTTACTTATCTTTAGAGGGAAAGGGAAGGAGAGACGGAGAGAAACATCAGTATATGGTTGCCTCTCATATATCTCCTGCTGGGAACTGGACTGCAACCCAGGCATGTGCCCTGACAGGGAATCCAACTGCAATTGTTTGGTTTGCAGTCCTCAGCTGAATCCACTGAGCTACACCAGCCACGGCAGTCACCTGGACTTCTGTTGTGAAATCTTTCCTACATGAAGTCAAGAACCCACACACTATCTGCCAGCCCTAAGCAGACCCACTCAGGGCCAGGTCCCCTGTCTGGTAACACAAGTACTGAAATATCGTGTCTAAGATTATGTTTTAAGACTGAATTCCATCTGCTGTGTTTTCTTGCTCTTTTGTTCCCTCTGAGGGAAGGCAGCTGCCATACTGATTAATGCCTTATAGACATTAATGCCCTATAGCATGACAAGGAACTGAGATTATCCTCTGGCCAACAACCTTCCAGAAAGTGAGGCCCTCAGTTTAACAGCCATGGAGAAGTGAATTCTGTCAACAATCATGGGAGTGAGATTGAAAGAAGATTCTCCCCTCACCAGTCAAG